CTGTTGAAGATGCTCAGCATCCCGTGATGATCCGGTGATATCTATGGTGATAGATGTATTATCGACTGTTGAAGATGCTCAGCATCCCGTGATGATCCGGAGATATCTATGGTGATAGATGTATTATCTACTGTTGAAGATGCTCAGCATCCCGTGATGATCCGGTGATATCTATGGTGATAGATGTATTATCGACTGTTGAAGATGCTCAGCATCCCGTGATGATCCGGAGATATCTATGGTGATAGATGTATTATCTACTGTTGAAGATGCTCAGCATCCCGTGATGATCCGGTGATATCTATGGTGATAGATGTATTATCTACTGTTGAAGATGCTCAGCATCCCGTGATGATCCGGTGATATCTATGGTGATAGATGTATTATCTACTGTTGAAGATGCTCAGCATCCCGTGATGATCCGGTGATATCTATGGCGATAGATGTATTATCTACTGTTGAAGATGCTCAGCATCCCGTGATGATCCGGTGATATCTATGGTGATGGATGTATTATCTACTGTTGAAGATGCTCAGCATCCCATGATGATCCGGCGATATCTATGGTGATGGATGTATTATCTACTGTTGAAGATGCTCAGCTTCCCGTGATTATCATGGTCTTCAGTAACCCATGATTCTCGTAGGAGGCGACTAACTGACTCGGGTGGTCAGGCTCGCTGATTTGGTTGACACATGCGATCGTATCCCAACTGTGTAGATCGATGATCATGATGTCAATCACTGTATTGTCTTGTCCACACTGGATTATTTACAGACTGCCGCCATATAGCTGGAACTTTGCAGAGTGCAGCGTAAAACACTAAACGAACTAACTAACTGAACACACATGCAATCACTGGATTGTATGGTTTTATACAAGATGGCGTTGATGGCGGACTTCATTACTCGGTAGCCCTGGTACTTGATCTTTTACTCAGTAGCCCTGATACTCATAGTTTATCCATTACTCTGTAGCCCTGATAGTTACTCCATTACTCAGTAGCCCTAAGTTACTCCATTACTCAGTAGCTCTGATACTCATAGTTTATTCATTACTCAGTAGCCCTGACAGTAACTCCATTACTCAGTAGGCCTGATAGTTACTCCATTACTCAGTAGCCCTGATAGTTACTCCATTACTGAGTAGCCCTGAGTTACTCCATTACTGAGTGGCCCTGAGTTACTCCATTACTCAGTAGCTCTGAGTTATTCCATTACTCAGTAGCCCTGATAGTTACTCCATTACTCAGTAGCCCTGATACTTATAGTTTATCCATTACTCAGTAGCCCTGACAGTTACTCCATTACTCAGTAGCCCTGACAGTTACGTCATTACACAGTAGGCCTGATAGTTACTCCATTACTCAGTAGGCCTGATAGTTACTCCTTTACTCAGTAGCCCTGATAGTTACTTCATTAGTCAGTAGCCCTGATAGTTACTTCATTACTCAGTGGCCCTGATAGTTACTCCATTACTCAGTAGCCCTGATACTTATAGTTTATCCATTACTCAGTAGCCCTGACAGTTACTCCATTACTCAGTAGCCCTGACAGTTACGTCATTACACAGTAGGCCTGATAGTTACTCCATTACTCAGTAGGCCTGATAGTTACTCCTTTACTCAGTAGGCCTGATAGTTACTTCATTACTCAGTAGCCCTGATAGTTACTTCATTACTCAGTGGCCCTGATAGTTACTCCATTACTCAGTAGCCCTGATAGTTACTCCATTACTCAGTAGCGCTGATAATTACTCCATTACCCAGTAGCCCTGATAGTTACTCCATTACTCAGTAGCCCTGATATTTACTTCATTACTCAGTAGCCCTGATAGTTACTCCATTACTCAATGCACCATTTATCCCTTTTTGGGGCCGAAGGGGAGCAGGTATTTAAATAAAATGTTAATATGTTATTCTGTTCTGAGAAATATCTTGTGTCCATGCCAACAAAACATCCCTGAACAATTAAGTCTCTCAAACTGATGGGTCTTTGTCTTCTTCGATAGTGGTGGTGATGTGAAATGCATCCATTGTTTGTAAACCAAACTAACAAATCATTGAAAGAACCTTTCTGGATCAGCTTCAAACAGGCAGATCATCGTTAGTGGTATATTATTTTATGTGATGTCAAAATCTTTTAAACTCAGGGAGTTGATACTTATGTAGTTGCCTCTGTTCCCCTCATCCTCCCCTACGCGTTGTACTCGTGTCTTCAGCGACGGATTTGGTATTAAACCCGATTGCACGTTCCTCGAATGTGTTTTATTTTATGCATTCCTGCTGATGTAACTGCCTTGTCAGTTGGCGGATTTGTGGCTATGCCTCAACGGCATAATCTCAACAAGAAAATGTTTCACTGTAACGCAATTCCTTCTATACTGACGTATAAAAGAAAGTATACACCTGGTGCTCTGATAGTAGTTTCCCCAAATCAACGATGGGGTGTGTTTTTTTAAACGACTAATTTGGTTATGGTAACATAAGTATCCAGACGAATATGTTTCAAACTATTTTATTAGTCTAGTATATAATGTTAGGCGGATATAGCTACACTGTAAACATTTATGGCTACTCTTCCATATCTTTATCATAAGCATCACGGTATACAGTAAAATAGCTGAATTTTGTTAGTTCATAACCGAATGTTATAACGACACTTCATGCTGGTGGTATACGTTTTATAGAAATATCTCTCTCTCTCTCTCTCTCTCTCTCTCTCTCTCTCTCTCACACACACACACACACACACACACACACACACACACAGAGTGTATATACTTACAAGATTTGGTAAGAATTCATATCACAGTGTACCAGGGGACCGAAATGGCAGACCGGTTTATACAGCGGTTCTGATTAATGGGGTTATAGCCAGACATAAATATAATAGAAAGTAAAGATAAGATAGAAGATATAAAAGATGTTAAGCCTTTAGATTTTAGATTTAAATTTTTGCATGGAATTGTCTATACCAAAAAAGAACTTTTAAAGATGAAACTGGTTGATAATTTAATATGTACTTTCTGTAATGAAGCAGATGAAAACATATGTCATATATATTGGGAATGTGAGGAAACCAAAAAAAATTGGGAAGAACTTCAAATTTGGATTAATCAAAACATACAGGAATGGCAACTGACAAAATTTCACGTTTGGTTTGGTACTCTAAGTACTAACCCACTACTTTGTCATACAATACTTTCTGCTAAAAGACACATCTATATTTGCACCCTGAAAAAAATAATTCCTAGCTTAGAAAACTTTATAAAGATTTTAAAAGACATATTCATGGTCGAAAGATTTATAGCAAAAAGAAACAATGTTTGATAAATTCTCAAAAAAATGGTTTCCTCTATTCCCATTAGTTGATCCAGAATGACCATTGTTAACCGCTGAATCTCAATGTGCAATATTTACATATATTTCAGCAATGCATACTCGCATTAAGCTACACATATACTCAAAATTTGTATCGATTGGAACAATAAAAAACAAATGATAAGGTAGAAGAGCATATCATGATTATGCATAGTTAATTCGGAACCGTACAAGTCCAGCATTGAGAGAAGTCCTGATTAGTCAGGGTCTGGTTTTGAGAGACTGAAACCCCACTACTACTGTGGATGGTCGTGTACGCTTTACATACGTCAGTTGTATCACAGGCTGTCACTCAACTTCATCCGCTAACTGATGAGGTTTGGACGGGGGTGCCCTGGAGTCCAGTGACAGATGTTAATCATCAGGCAGGGTGAACTCAGCACCGACAGGCCTGTCCCCCCGACCAGAGGAGGGGGCTGAAAGTCAGGCACAGGAAGCCCCACTGTAAACAACCTATACTCTTTCACTCCCTAAGTTGTAAACAAACTCAGATCCAATTGGAACTCGACCTGCATAATAAAGGCTCGTGAAGTAAATCTTATGATTCATATGGACTTGAAAACGTTCCATTCATATTGAGACCTCAGATCCCGAGATACTCAGCTTATAGGGTAATCTATCTCACAGTCGCTGAACCACATTGTCCCTCCTGCCCGCCCTCCCTGCAGTGCTAAAGCCCTTAATGAAGCGAGTCTAGATTTCCTCAGGTTCTGAATCTACCATCTCACTGGGGCTCCTTTTCAGTTTAATGGGTTTATTTGCTACTGAAAAAAATAGATATATTCAGAGACAGCGTTGGTGTTCTCATGTTTTTTTACCAATCTCATTCGTGGGCATAGGGGTGCCCGTAGGCTGCCATACAGACCCTGAAACAAACATATCCAAGAAAGGCCGTGGAAGTCTAGATGATGAGGCAAGTCTAGATTTCCACAGTTTCAGGAAGTCTCAGGGCTCCTTTTCATTATATTAATTTTTTTTATTAAATTATGAACTGTTTTTTTCTGTAAGATATGTTCATTTCAGAGACTAGTTGTTAGTCTAGGGTGCCCGTATTGGGTTGTGTGTCTCCATCCCCCGGCCGCCCGGAGTTTTCATTCCGACTCAAATGAATAAAAGTCTTTTGTCTCAGTTCCCTATCTTAATCCCCCCCCCCCCCTTTCCTCTCCCTTCTAAAAAGCGGTGCTAAACCTAAACCCACCTCACTCACTCATTCGCACCTCACTAACTCTATGAAGAAGATACGAAAACCAACAGTTTCCTGCGTTATTATTTGTCGTGTTTTCAAATTTGAAATTTAGACACGGTGAAACCATATTAAATTTACAACCGGCAGTGTCAGGTATTCACTCAAGTCCAGACTCAGGGTCTGGTATCAACAAATGCGTCTGAATATGAGAGACTATTAAAAACAAAACAAACAAAAAACAAAAAAAAATTCACTATCAATCCTAACATAATTTGGGATAAACGGTTCAACAACAAGGTTCCGGAAATTGCCGGTATTACAGAAAAGAAAACTACGCTATTTTATGTCCACTTCAATAAGCGCCAAAAGCGCCAAGGGAGGTAACTGGTGTGCGAGCATACCCGAAAGTTAAATCTACTCAGCACCTGATTTGCTATCGACAGTCCCAACTTGTTGCAAGGGGTAAGATGGCGCTCCGAACGGTCCTTCTCGTCGTGTGTTTCATGGTGATACTTCTCATGACGGGTATGTAATTATTTTTAATCAGTATCATTTAAACAGTCAGATGTGATCAAACCCGCTAGCTATTTTTCTCTGCATATGCTAGGAGTGTACATGTTTATACCTGACGCACGTTTGCTGTGCGAATCACTGACCAATGGCTATTTTTAACACTGAGTCGTACATATTATAATATTTTTCTCATAAAAATAAGATTTATGTTTCCTCACCACTGAGATAATGCCCTGAGGTTGTTGCAAAAATAGCAGTTGATGTAAGATACGTCGTGTTCAGTGATGCAATGTGTCACTTTGTTTTAGATGCATTGTTTCCGTGTACTTGTGTCACTACAAGTCTACATAGTATGCGTGTAATGGTGGACAAAGTTTGGAGGGATCGTGTTGTCCATTTGGACTATGCACTACAATCCCGCGGTCGATGGGGGGACAGGCTCAGGTTGTTTGGGGGGAAGCTAATGTAATAATTGAAAATCAATAGCAAAGCATGAGACCAGCGATAAATATAACGCTCCATTGCGCGCGCCGGACACCTGGAGCAGACGACAGATGGTGAAGGGCTGTTAAAGGCTCTCTCCCAACCTTCCATTGTCACAAATAATGTGTGAAGTTAAAGGTTAAATTACTAAACTCTATTGTATACGTTTAAAGGCGCATTATCTCCATTGTGCTATGGTAGCTAAAGCTGAATACGCCATAATCTTTAGCGTTATGCACATGTAAAGGGGCGCTCGTCTGGGTGTCGAGTTACGGGTGGTGTCCCCTCAAAATGCACTCGGTGGTTAGGGGAGAGAAAACAGCCTGTTAGGTCTGACAGTCTGTACTACAGTTGACGTACACAGTGACACCAACTCGTGCATATTTCTGTATGGTTCTGTATCACTATTTCTTATTCTCCCAGTGGATTGCGAGAAACGATTCATTAATGCTTGATACTAAGAGACACTTGGAATATATATCATAAAGAACTTCAGACCTGTCGTGTAGACTGAAATGTCGCATGTACGTTCATGCTGACTGGCTGCAATAAGAATTGAACCGATACTAATCATAATATTACAGCTTGTTTTGATTCAAATGATAAACCAAGGGGGTGACATTAATACTTTTTCACTGTCTTGCTTTAGCGCTCGTCACCCAAGAACGCGTTAACGCTAGTCCTTGTTTATTAGAGCGTTAATGATTTTGTTACCATATTGTTTCGTATCATCATGATGATTATTGCACATGACAATGTTGACATGTGACAGTGTAGTCGTTCCGTTATACCACCACTCTGTCGGTCGTTACTTCTGCCTACACTACAGTTTTGATGTTTGAAAGGAGAGATGGGTGTGTTTTTTTAATGTAATTGTGTTTATTTATCGATATCTAAGAACGTCGTGTAGTGTAGTGCAGTGCTTTGTGAGTGACATAACGCTGGCCTGCTGTGAGGTTTTAGTGCCATTCTTTTACACAAGTGACAGGACTCTGCCACCAGGATGGAATGTTGCTGAGTACTGAACCCGACTCGCTTACCCATCCCCTTGTCCCAAAGAGAGGGTGCTGTCACAGAAACGTCAATTCTGTCTGTCTCCCAGTCCCTGAACCATTTTATTTGTAAAACATTACATATTTTCACAAAATTTAACATATGTTAATCTAACGTCAGTCCCGCGAGCATATTATATGACTGTAGCACTATGGCCATCAAGCTTTGTCCCTCGACATTCTTTGACAACATACACCGCGGGGACACTTTGCAATGAAAGTGTAACTTCCATCGTTACTTTGCTGATTAACTTCCCAAAAATATTTTTTTTAAAATGCGCCTAATCTTCATGTAATTTACTTGAAAAACATTGACAAACATCTTCATTTATTTATAATGAAATACTTATATATGTGTGTGTTTATTTCACTTTATTAATGGAGCGTTTGGGTTGGGGTGGGACGGAGGATGGTCTCAGAAGGACGAGGAAGAAAAGTCAATAATAATAATAACTAAAAGTTTATTTGTATAATTTATATTTTATACTGGTTTGGTCTTCATACATCGCAGCATACCCGGAGAAAACTCAAAGACCGGATACGGGGGTGGGTGGGTTGAGGGTGCGGTTTCAGTGTAGCCAGGGGCGGATACAGCTTTTTGAGAAAAGGAGGGGTGCACACTTAATTTTTACCCGAGTTTCAATGGTCATTTAACAAACTTTTACCACAAGGGGGGTTGGGGGTGCGCACCCCTACACACACACACCCCCGGATCCGCCCATGGTAGCGGTGCGAATTATGTAACATTATCAACAATCCAGTCATGCTTTGTGACTTTCTTCAAAATACCACTCAGAGAACTTGATTTTCTACGATAGGTGAGCCTTTGTTCTGAACAATATGCCAACCGAACCCTACATTACAGGTGTATATACATATCACTCACTAGAACTGTGAAAACAACGTTTAGCTTATTATGTTGCTATTCTCTGCTGGGATTAATTAATGAACAGCCATTGTTTCACCTGAGTACTGGTCCCCGATGAGATGTGAAAACCTGACTCCTCAGACAGGTGGGTAGGCTTGTCATATCGCCGGGGGCGTGAAAACAGTCGAGCAATGTTCAGTTGTTATATACAGGCTTGAATACTTGTATAAACAGTACTCTCATTAAGCTCTGAGTTACCACAATCTCTTTCGTCGGGCCGAGATTAAGTACATTATACATACATTCAGTGGTATTCAGCGTTCGTTTAGTAGGGTGGATTCTCGTGATATCATTAGGAAGAATTAAGTCAACAGTGCAATTTATAACACCTGAGAAAATATTGCTTGATCTTATTGCACGTTCTTTAGTTTCAGTCAGACCACCTGACAGGGATTAACTGAGCCTTGGTCTATTTTTTGAAGTACTCCAAGTATGGTTTGCTCATAAAAACAAGGGCGGGAATAAAATAATAAAAATGAAATTAAATAAACCTATACTGCCGTGAGTATATGTTTTAGTGAAAGGTTAAAACGTCATTTAACTTTCCATACCAACAGAAAAACCCAGTTATCTCAGAGTCAATTCCACGATCCTGCCACGACTATGGGAGGTAACTCTGTGCGGAGGATGTTGCCTTCTGAAGAACGAATCGGCCACCGTTCCCTCTAGTTCCACACCAGTAAGAGAATCCTGATTATCGTGAAACCTTACTACGCCCAACTGTGAATTAGTAAGGAACAGTTCTTATGGTCAGAAAACTTCTATATAGTGCAACAAATGCGATGTTTCGTTGTGGATTTAACACCGTTATCAGTCACTTGCTGGATAACGGTGTTAGCATCTACACCGTAAACGTAGCATCGATTGCAATAAAGTTGTCTATCCATAGAAATTGTTCCCCTTCATCATACCAGGAAATGTGTTATAATTCGTCCTGACGTAATGACTTGCAACGATAACTTCCGGACTAACGGTGTTTCTCTGTAGTATTTTAATAATGATAATAAATAATAATAAGTACCTGCCAAGCTGCCTGTGAGGCGCTAAAAGGTTAATAGTCACATGACTTATCCCACCGGGTACCCAATTTCTGCTGGGGCAATTTTGAACAAACTCACTTGTCTAAGGTGAGACCACATGTATGACATGTGCTTCGTTGTGGGGCAGGATTGAAGACCAAGGCACTCTCAGGAGACAAGCTGCCAAACACGGTCACCCATCCAAGGACTCTCCGCGCACAACGTTGCTTAACTTCAGCTGATTTGGGACCTGAACTCTGGATCTTATAATAATAATGATGTAATATACCAAATTTGTACAGCGCTCTATATGATTTAGGAACTAAAATACTCTAAAACGCTTTACAGAGAGAGTCATAAATGCCACTGAGTGTAGGCTGATTTAAAGAGATGGGTTTTATTACGCCCTTATATGTTAGTTTGATCAGCTCATCTTGGACAGGGCTCACTGCCCCTTTAAATCCTCGTGAATCCCGTCCCCACAGCTGACCAAGTCACTTCCGTGTTAATTCACAGACAATCACGCAGACGTGCCGTATGACATCTGTGCAGATTACTACGCACGTACGGCTGACCACTCAGAGGTCAGCTGGTGTTCAAATGCTGGATGTTTTGAGAGCAGCCCTGTAGCGTGTACATCCAGGATGTCAGATTCTGGAGACCCGGTCTTGCTAAATGATAGAAAAACCAAGCCGTTCAGTGATTCATAAGATATGATCCTAGATTTTCAGCTGACCATATTGAAAGCTATGTAGCCAACAGTTCAATGTTGCTGTTTTTCAATATATATCCTCAACAAAGTTATTACAAAATGAACAATAGACAACTTCCTTATTCCAATAGATGCGACATTTCAGCGTAGATGATTACGCGAGATCACGTGGCGCAATTTCATGGCGGCGTGGTTTTTTGTTGTCCAGAGAATCTTCGTCTTTTATCGATACACCGTTTGTCTCGAACTACGGATAACTCATTTTGCTTTCCCGACTGCTTGCAACGATGTTCATACTCCTTGGAATACGTGTTGACTGACTGACTGACTGAGTTCAGTTTTACGCCCCTTTTAGCAATATTCCAGCAATATCACGGCGGGGGACACCAGAAATGGGCTTAACACATTGTGCCCATGTGGGGAATCGAACCCGGGCCTTCGGCGTGACGAGCCAACGCTTTAACCATTAGGCTACCCCACCGCCCCGGAATACATGTTGAATATGTGTCGCGTGAAAGAATGACTGTACTTTTAGGGCCAACTACTATGCACTGTATTCGATCGATACCAATCTGTTCGTTATGTCATTACGAACCCCACCACCACCCCATCTCTCATTACGAACCCCACCACCACCCCATCTCCCACCCGCACCCCTCCCCTCTCCCACCATCCCACACTGATTACAGCTGATGTCTACCGTTCCATCCTTGTCATTAGAGGCTACTAACGGTATCATGTGTCTCACTTGCTGACTTGTCACAGTATAATAAAATAGTTGCATAGATCGATGTTCATGGTGTCAATCACTAGATTGTCTGGTCTCATCATTTACAGACCGCCGTCATACATTGGTACTACTTACGAGAGCGTTGTGAACAGCTATCACATTGTCACTGAGTTAAACCCGTGAAGGTCCGGGTTATCTAATATTGATCTTCAGGAACCCATGCTTGTCGTAAGAGGCGACTGGCGGGATCGGGTGGTCAGGCTCGCTGACTTGGCTGACACATGTCATCGATTCCCAATTATGTAGATCGATGCTCTTGCTGTTGATCACTGGATTTTCTGGTCCAGACTCGATTATTTACAGACCGCCGCCATATACATGTAGCTGGAATATTGCTGAGTTCGGCGTAAAACTAAACTAAACTCACTCACTCACTGAGTTAATATGTTACATCGCCCTACAGAAGCGGTATCGACATGTACACAAACAATCAAAAGTTACCAATGCTGATGCAAATTTGTTCTTTCCCAGGATGCCTAGCGCGGCACAGACGTCGACATCACCGAGCAAGCAGACGACGTCCACCGCTGTCGGAGTTCCCCCCACGCCTGCACGCCCAGTTTGCCACCGTTGCCAATAACTTCACGTGGAATCTGTACAAACAGTTATCCTCTGGTCGGAAAAACCTCGTGTTCTCCCCTGTCAGTGTATTCAAGACTGTGTCAATGGTCTACCTCGGAGCAACCAACGTCACGGCTAAAGAAATATTCAATGCAGTGGGATATGAGATTTTAAAAAGACCCAGAAAAGTTCGTAAGGCCTTCCGCCATTTTGCCGAAATGATGCGCAGACCTATGCGCAATGTGTCGTTCCAAGTCGCCGATGCACTGTATGTCCATGAATCGATTCATCTGAGAAACAGATTCGTCAAACGGATGAGGAAATTCTATAAAGCAAAAATACGGACATATAATCACAACACGAAGAACGCAGCATTGTCTTCGCTGAAGAAATGGATCAAAAGAAACACCCGAGGCAAGCTGAATGACTTCAAGACGAATTTATCAGTGAAAAGCAAAAGGTCGTTGTTGTTCATGAACGCCGTATATTTCAATGGCTCTTGGGACATGTTGTTTGACCGTACCCTGACCAACCGCACCATGTTCGACGTCAACAAACACACACGAGCCGATGTCGACATGATGTTTTGTGACTGGAGGTACTATTATAAAATTAACCCTGACCTTAAGGTCAAGGTCATCGAAATACCATATGACTCACACAGGTTTAGTTTCTATATAATTCTACCCGATGAAGTCAATGGACTTGAGGAACTAGAACGCAGATTGACATCTACGACATTTCAGAATCTCATAACAGACATGAAAGGACCAGCACGGTTTCATTTGCGCATGCCGCGTATGAATCTCATGAGTGACCTTGACCTTAAACCCCATTTGAAGAAAATGGGGATCAACGATGTGTTTGAGAAGAAGGCAGATATGTCGCCAATAGATGGCACTAAGAATTTGTTTGTAGATCACGTGATGCACATGTCGGTTCTAGACGTGGATGAAGGCGGCAGTGTGGGGTCAGGGGTCACCGGGGCAGGCATAGCTCTGAGGTCAGTGCCCCCGGAGTTCATTGCCGACAGACCCTTCATGTTCGTGATTAAAGACAAATTAACCAAAACTGATTTATTCATGGGCAAATATTCAGATCCACGTGCCTCGTAATTATGGAGAATAGTTTGTTCTTGACCGACTTTATCAGGACAACTCCCGAACCTCCTTCGAGAATACGGACCTAGTGTGAGGTGGACGTGGAAAGCAAAACAATGCAATTTTTTAATGTGATTTTTCTCATTGATGAGGATGGTGGTTTGATATGTACCGGAGAGTCACACAGATGTGACAATAGTGTAGGACACGGGTCTCAAGACAGCACTCCGCGTTCAAGTCAGTGACTGTATGTTCTACAGGGACGCAGACAAACAGTGGTGTAACAGTTCGACTGACCCTCAGGCATACAGTGGTACATCGTTTCAGCAGGTGTTTATAATAGTATTAATAATTATATTATGTTATATATCATGTATTATTTATTAATGTCGATAGCAACAGTAAATCATTTTTTGTAACATTTCAATATTTTGGAGTCGGCGGATTGTTAATTAACTTTTATATGGTTTGGCCAAAAACGGATATAAAACGTCCTGGTGCGACTTCTTTAAAATATGATTTATTTTCGAAATATTTTTATTTGTGTTGTCTGCTGTATTCAGTCAGGTGTAGCTATCGGTAGAGAAGTGGCAGATGTTTCCCGCTGATTTGTCTTCAGATAGATACATTTATCAATAGCAATTAGCAAGGTAACATCTCATAGCATAGATAGTAGTATATACTGTGTCTATAGCAAGATAACCCTATTAATCCGGACGATCCCAGTGAAACTGTCCTGATTAACGAAATTCTGTATAAACGAGTAATGGCTACATTGTGTCATCCTTTTGATTATAAACATTTTTTCCAGAACAAAATCGATCGGTAATGTTGGTTCCCGGGCTGACGGGGTATTATATTTAATATCACCGTGCCCATCGGTGCATTATGTCAGTTATGTCACCAGTCGTATGACAGTTGACATCCAGGTGCTGTGTAGTGACATCCAAACAGGTGAGGGATGCTAGTTAGTGGCTGACCCCTCTGTGCCCAAGCATTCAGCGTTTAACCCCAATCTATGGTCAGTGTGTTCCCCTCACTACATATGGGAATTTCCAATTCAAAATTCATACAATTGCAAGTTGAAATATCGTTTGGTCATATCGCCCCTCTGCGAAGTACGTATTATGTCGGAAAGTGCACGTTAAATCTTTTAATCAGCATCAGCATCAGCATCAGCATCATCGTCGTCGCAAGCGACATTGTGGAAGCTACAGGGAGTGGATGGGGCACTTAAGGGACACTTTGAACCTATGACATGTGTTGTTCGTCTTGAAAACAGATAGTATATTTTAGGAACAGCTAAACCTTGCATTATATAGGACAAGGACCGGATCAGGTCGGTATATTTATATAAGCTATAAGGTTTATTTGGGCACACACTTGTTACTGAGTTTGGTCAAGTTTGAAATAGAATTAAATGAGGCCAACTTATTCAGAGGCAGGCGGAAGTGTTTGTAGGCACGCTGGAGAGTAGGAGTGGAATAACAGTTTTATTGCCTACAGGCTCCTTCACTCACTATCACAGAGAAAGAAAATGGAAAATAATGGAACTCTTTGTCTCTCAGATTACCGTAGTGTAGGGAATAAATCGGTGTACAATTCAGTATGGGGGTAAACGGGTGGAAGAGTGACCCTGTCGTGATGATCGCAGAACAACATGAAGGCTCAAAGCATGATTGATATTCAGATAATTCTGACAGTGTTTAACCTAATTTTGATACAGTTTACATATATACCATTGACTATAATATGTTTATTTTTTTTATTTACGTTTACCTCAACATCTTTGTTTTGTGTTTATTCATTCAATGTTATAGTTGATTTAAATACTGGTATGGACATCCACATAAACACCAGTTACATGGCAGGTACACTTTGTGCAAATCTTGAAACCGGTTGTATGTTTTGTTTATTGTCTGTATATTTCCATATTAATGTTGTGATTATACAGGTGGTCTTATAGTACAGGTGACCTTGGTAAAAGCGCTGGAATGTCGAACTATGAGTGAATGGGGGTTTAAGCGGTAGTGTGCTTTGTATCCGGTATTTACGGTAGTGTTCATTGCCGTTTCTCCCTGGATTAGTAACAACTTGGGTAATGTATGCATGAACCTGATGTTGAACCATGTTCAGGCAGGTGTTTTGTAAGTAGCTCATTTAAACAGTACCCATGTAAGTTTATTGTAACGCGTGAGTGTAATACCCGACCCTGTAAAATATGGAACCTGTCATGAGCGTTTCCGTTCCAAGGCAAAATGTCCAGGGCCCACTTGCACAAAGCGATCATAGCGCTACGACTATCTTAAGCCTATATTGTAACGCTAAGATTGCTTTGTGCAAGTGGGCCCAGGTTAACAAATAGCCCGATTAAGAAGTGTTCGGATTAACAGAATGTCTGGTTTAACACATGTCCATGTCAACTGAATATCGATTCAGTGGGTATGGAGTTTATCATCTGAAAACCAGGATCCGGACAAATGAGTGTTTGCTGTAAGAAGGTTTAGTATGACTTTCAACCAAGACACGACATGTGACGTTCAGGGCCTCCTTTCACAAAGCACTAAAGTGATAACTTGTTTAAGTGGCATTTAGAAGGTGGTGTGATGAACAACAAGGAGAGTTCTATGGATATACACCTTCTTTAATATGATATGAGCGACGTTTCGGTGTAGCTACTAACACCGTTATCAAGCAAACGTCGCTCATATCATATTAAAGAAGGTGTATATCCATAGAACTCTCCTTGTTGTTCACTAAAGTGATGGTAAGTCACTAAGGTAACCTTAGTGCAATGTTAAAGAATGGGAGTTAAGGTTAACCTCAGTCATGGTTGCTTCGTGAAAGAAGCCCCTGGACTAAGACACAAGCGAGGTAATCTCCCGCTGACTTACATTGTTTACGATACCTGCCGATGGCTCTTGTGATGCAAACTTTACAAACATTTATTCCTATGTGCTACAGTTACATTTTGACTTGTAGTCCGATAGTTCTGGGAAGTACGAATCAATGTGTGTGTCCTTTATGTGTTGTGATCTCACGCCGTTCATTCCATAGACAAACGCAGTGTCAGCTGATTGTGTCAAGCTTTTTGGGAAATGGTCTGTGTCAACATTTTCTCATGGAATAAACAGATTATCACTTTTCGGACAAAAATATCGTTTGTGAAATGTTATTGCTCGTTTTGCATCCTTATGGTTTTACGTTTTGTCTAATATCTCCCAAGGTGGGATAGCCTAGTGGTTAAAGCGTTGGCTCGTCACCCCGAAGACCCGGGTTCGAATCCCCACATGGGTACAATGTGTGATGCCCATTTCTGCTGTCCCCCTCCGTGATATTGCTGTAATATTGCTAAAAGCGGCGTAAAACTAAAGTCACTCATATCTTCCACAGTGATGCACTCGTGAATTAGCTGGTTATTTCTCATATTGTGCGACACCTGTCAGTCAGCGTGGAATATTTCCAATGTGTGCTCGACGGAAACCACGTGGAGTTTCTGTAGGAATCCAATACTCGCGGAGTTCAGGACATGACTTGTGTTTGTTTGTTAGCATTCGGTAATATTCCAGCTATGTGATTGTGGTATGTGAGTAATCGAGTCTTATCATCGATTTAGATCTACGATCTATGACGTGTCAACCAAGTCAGCGAGCCTGACCATCCGATCCCGTTAGTCGCCTCTTACGACAAGCATGAGTTACCGAAGATCAATTCTAACCCGGATCTCCGCGGTTCACATGCTCGTAACTTGTGCAGATCCAATACAAACCGGTACATGGACGCCTACAGTAGCACTTGTTTAATCTAACTTCAAACTAATAATTATGACTTGTCATGTTTTAACACAATCGTATACTGGCAAGATTCAAGAGCAGTGTTCTGCAGCCTATGGCCTTTCTAACATATAAGGTTCGTAACGTAATCGTTTACGAGAGAATGGTCTCCGGGACAGATGGCACTATTTTGGATCATTGCTGAGATGTCTTCATCGGCACCGACGTGTTCGATGTGGCGTCAAGCTGACCGAAGTTGTGGAGCGGGGAATCAGATCCCAGATACTGAGCTCAACCTCCAGTACGTGAGTGAGTGACTATATTTAGTTTTACGCCGCACTCAGCGGTCTGTGTATAATCGAGTCTGGACCAGACAACGAAACGACTGACACCATAAGTATCTATCTACGCAACGGATACGCTGACATGTGTCAACCAAGTAAGCGAGCCTGACCACCGGATCCCGTTAGTCCTGTACGAATGGGGGGAATGTAACATCCAGGCAGGACAAGTTCCTACATCACATGGTCCTCCTGGTTCACCACCAGAGGGATATGTTCCAGCGACTTAATACTGGGCAGCAGACTACACGTGCAACTGTTGACTATCTACGGAATGAGAGTTATCCCATGGCCTCTGCGTTGCCACGTCTTGACCACAGCTCGGAGGACGGTGGGATTCCACAAACTTGGATCCAGGTCCAATCGATGCTAAGAAGATACAGAGCAGTTTTGGATTTGGAGGCACTTGGTTGTCAGAGTAGTTTGTGAGTGAGTTACTCAGAGTTAGTATAATTTTATGCCACTTTTAGCAATATCACGGCACGGGGGCACCAGAAATGGCCTTCGCACACTGTACCCATGTGGGGATCGAACACGGTCCTTCGGTGTGACGAGCGAATGCTTTAACCACAAGGCTAATCTACCGCCCCTAAATGTCATCTTGAAAACTTCTAGAGTCTTGTCTGTTGTTGGGGCGGTGAGTTATCCTTGTGGTGAGCGGATCTTTCCGTGGCAAGCATATCCTGTAGCACGTGTTTAAAGTCTTCTCGTCACGTGATGGCGAGGGGACACCTTTATCTCGGGAAGAAGAGGGGCATTATTGAAAATTTTATTTTATTGACACATCAGTGTTTATAGTGTAAGTCTGTCATAATATAATGGTATAGGAACAGAATTATATACTACCCATCAAACGTTTAGACTCACTTAAAGCACTCACTATATGTTATGTATATATATATATATATATATATATATATATATATATATATGGTTACATCGAAGATAAATTTCTCCACTATCTTGGGGGAACCAACTGCAAACCTTGTGCAGATGAATTGCTACGAAGATCATGCATCAATTAATTGCTGAAAAGCATTTGCAAATATCGTGCATGTGAACAGCTGCGTTTTGGTGTAAAGTTTTGTTAAGAAATCGCCAATTTAAAAAGATAATGATCACACACTTTCAATGCTTTCGGAGAATAGTATCCTCAAGTGAAAAATGTTTGAGTACATACACAGCCCTATATACACTGTATAAGCCTTTTTCTCACATCAAACAGACAACCTATCCCAAACACCTACCCCATTGATGTTCTCCCCTGACTTGATGTCAAGTTTACAATGCAGACACAAAACGCGTGCTCGACACAGAGGTAGGTTTCTTGTAGATTCGATCGAACATTTAGTTCAAAATTTAACTTAGCGTGTTTTGTTTTGTTAAACAGCTCTGCTCTAGTGACACGGTATGTTTATCTGCCAAATTTAATCGAAAAAGAATTAGCCCCGGCCCGCCCGTTAACCGACATTTATTGCCTGACTGGTTCAACGTTAGGGCATGACTTGTAGGGTGTCACCTACAGAAACGTTCATTCTCTTCTTATTAACACGTTTTCACAAAAGAGTATACGAGTTATAATATACACATGCATTGGAAATATGTGTCAAGATCGGAGCCACGAATGAATATATATTATATTATTTCTGCTTTATCTTACAGGGTAAATAGCTCCAGATATTTCATAAATATATCTCGACCGATTCTTAAGAACTCTAGCGTATGTGTATTAAACCGTCGCACACTTTGACAGATAAGTGTTTGCTGAATAAATGGGCGAGTCCAAGATCATTTCAAATATTCCCGATCCATATTAGCCAAGTACACCTTACATGATGATAAAACACTTAGGAACGATTCGTATCAAGCGTTACTGTTCTTATGTTACGTCAAAATGTAATTACTAATGATTACAAGCTTTGAGCCTAGTAATCTGTAGAGGCTCCATGACAAAGCAAGGTGTCTGGAAATGTTTCTCGCTCTCTTGTTTTGCTTGCTCGATTGTTCACGTACGCACATACGCACTCACGCACGCGTATATTATTCTGTTCTGTTTTGGATTGTTTAGTCCAGGGTCTCTTTTCACGAAGCAACCTTTACTAAGGTGAACCTTAACTCCCATGCTTTAACATTGCACTAAGGCTACCTTAGTAACTTTCGATCACCTTAGTGCTTTGTGAAAGGATGCCCTGGCTACTATGTACAGCTGGAATACCGTAATATAGCGAGATAGCGAGAGAGAGAGAGAGAGAGAGAGAGAGAGAGAGAGAGAGAGAGAGAGAGAGAGAGAGAGGTGTCAATCAAGTCAGCGATCTTCACGGGTGTCCCGCTGGACCAACTGGAGTTCGGTTCTACCAGATACACTGTACACTGAAAATCATGATTATTCTCTCTCTCCATGGCAGCCATCGTTGGCTAAATTTGAATCCTGATATTATTCTCCTTGTCTACGCAACACTATCATGACTATGGCGTTCCGTGAAGTCTAGATTATATCTCGATTCACCACTGAAAGGTACTGGAGCCCGACCATTTGACGGGAACAGTCCAAACTCGCCAGTGTCCCGATGTCGGGTACCGGATGCGTGTGAATCATGTTCTCCGTCACTGGAGATCAGCCTCAAAGAGACGATTACGTCCATGTAGAAACATTAACGCCACTGGCGTTCCGCTGGTCATATCCTGCTGTGAGGTGGAACGCCGTCGACCACCTGCACGTCGCTGGGGACAGAATATCTGGCATCGATGCCCTGCTGATCACACAGTGGCCGACACGTTTCCAGCAAGGTGTTGACCCATAATATTTCGGTAGTTAAACGACCTCTTTGATTCCAAGATGGGCACATCCTCGATAATCTCCGGGGTATACGTTACGATCACTCTCCACTAGGGTTGGGTATTGCCAAAATGTTCGTATTGCGATATCTGTTGGCGTATTGCAATATGTATTGCAATATATTGTGAAAGTGTAACACATGGGTTAAGATAATGAAATTACTGTTTTCGTTCTTTTGAAACAATGCCACTATCCACTGTCAAGCCTCAGATGAGATTATACAAGAGATCAATAGAAAATGTTTCCACATTGATGAAAAAGCGTCTGCAGCGGCGTCTGCCATTTTGGTTGGTTTATCCCTACACCGAGTGCCGGTACCAATCTATTTTTTTTCTATTTATATGGTTTAAACGTCACGCAAATGCAAATATATAATCTATCAAACATTCTCAAAACTATTACTGTATAATAATATAAAGGAAATACAAATGTTATTAGCATTTTTGACTACATCACGACAATTACCGATCATGGTCACAGAAATTGCCGATCGTATCGGGTGAACCGGTTCGCGAAAAGTGTATCGCAATATATCGTATTGTGAAGTTCGAATTTCAATATACCGGTTAACCGGTATTATCGCCCACCCCCTACTCTCCACTATACCCTATTCTCACAGTAGCCAATCAGCTAAACCGCCGTTACATCCGAGCTTGCCAGTGTCAACAAAGATTGTGGTCGTAGTCGCGAAAGTTTGTTGCAGTACCACCCAGATCTTTGGAGAAATAATACAGACAAATTGACAGATCTGAAACTTTCAAAACATATAAAAGAACTCCTTCCACATCTTTCAGACTACCCTCTGCATCAATTAGGTTGCCAAGTTTAAACGGTAAGATAATTTAAGAAGCGAAAGTGAGTTGTAATTGGTTCGCTCAATTTCCCAGCGTAGACACCGGATTGGATAAAAAGTCAACCAATGGAGGTAATGAAATCATCGGGCTAAGCCGTGGATGCATCCAGGGTATAGTGGAGAGTGATCGTAACGTATACCCTGGAGATTATTGAGGATGAGAAGGGCACTGTCGCCAGTGTTGTTCTCGCAGACAATGATGTCCATCGATTCTGTCTCAATTTTACAAGCACCTTGTACACCTCATAACTACAGTACAACCAGAAATTATTGAGAATTTAAAGATTGTATTTTTTTGTATTTTTTCACTCATTACTCACGTATTAAATGTGAATATTAGCAGAACATAACTCCAGATTCAAAGACAGGTGAACAGTTAGTATTTTGTCAAGTCACCATGGGCAGCAATACAGGCTTCAATGCGGGGCATACTACTGATCAAAGAAGTTAGAAAGTCGTGGTCCATGCTGTCCCAATATCGGACCACCTCTTTCGTTTCAGCAATATTTGTCAGATTTTTTTTATTGACACTTTCCTTCATAACTCCCCAAACACTTTCTATTGGATTTAGGTCAGGGCTGTAGCTTTGCCAATCTAATAATGTCATGTTTTGGGTCCGAAACCAGGCCTGGGAATGCTTTGAACGATGTTTTGGATAGTTGTCCCGCTAGAAAATCCAAACATTCCATAGAACACGTGAGCAGATGGAAGTAAATGTCCCTCGAGAATATCTGTGTACAGCTCACTGTTCATATTCCCTTCAAATACACAGAGGGACGTTGCCCCTAACACAGATATACCACCCCACACGTTAGATTTCGGACTGTACTTTGGGCGCTGATACAAAGGTTTTTCAGTTTGTTTGGTCCAGAATTTCAGTGTATTAGGAAACAGCCACACAGAACTTTCATCTGAGAAAATCACATTGTCCCAGTTACAATTTCTATGCCGTAAGCACCAGTTCAACATTCGCTTCTTTTGTTCAGGTCTCATGATCGGTGATGGAATTCCTCGACTTTTCTGCCAACCCATTGCATGCAGCTCAGTTCTAATTGTCTCCTTACAGACAGCCACAGTTCCTCTACCAATCATATCCAGCCTTAAGTTTTCGTTTGTTTTTAGAAACAAGAATACCAAGCCGCCTCCTGTCACCGACAGTCAATTTTCTGGGCCTACCTGCGCCTCCCTGGTGCTCAATGCCATATCCATTTGCAATATTTTTCAAAACACGATAAACAGTGGCCAAAGGGATGCCTGTTCTACTTGAAATTACTTTAGTTGATCTGATGTCCTTGTTATAATACTCTAAAAATCAACTTCCTCTTCTCTAAATCCTCCATACTGAGGATCACTGAAAATGTCGTCTCAATAATTTCTGGTCATACTATATTACTGAATGTCTCTGTTCAACGTAATATTTCGGCTCTATTGGGGGTACCCAGCCATTGAGTACCCTGGTGTTTATTTGTTGGATTATTTGTCGATATAAAACTGTATCCCTAGCAAACTTAGAGTAGTATGTGCATGCTTCCCGCTTCATATAACCGGACATCTTGCTGTAAACTTATATGCCAGTCTGATAACTGGTCAATATTCAACCAGTCATAATTCCAAGGACAACACTTCAGATTTAAAATCACAAAAACAAACAAGCTACATTACAAATATATTATAAATATACATATAAGCATTCATACAGAATGGTTGAGTCTGAGGGGTTCTTCTTTGGCTAATGACAATACGAGTTTGAAGCCAGTTCATATAAAAACCTGTACTTGGTACACATGACCCTATATGTTTGTTTAAGCATGTTAAGGGGAGACTACTCTAGACAAATTTCATCCAGGCATCTCGTTGCTACTTTTATAACTCCAAATTAGTACTGCAAAAGATGCTGTTCCCAACTCATCCAACAATCTTCATTTCTTCGAGCAAAACAACTTCTAAAAATGTGTGAATTCACAAAGCCAAGTGGTCAAATTAACACATGTTATATATGCAGTATGGGTTTTAAGGGACCGTTCATAATTTATGGCTAGGGGGTGGGTGGGTGGGGTGATGATGATTTTATGGAGAAGCATGTAAAATGTGAATGACCCCCCCCACACACACACACACACACTAAAATTTATGGACAAAATAAGAGACCCACCTGCATGTCATGTACAAAATCAATGACCCCCTTCCCTTCCCATAATTTCTCAGCATAATTTTAAACATATTTCTTATTTTGTGTTGTTGTGGGTTTTCTTAAAATAGATAAACTGGATGGGAAGGGAGGTAACTCTTTGAAGTAGTTCAAAGAAACATTCCCAGTGCACAGAAGTCTCGCATACAGGCTATTTATTTCATCCAAATGTTCATACTTATTGTTGAGACAGCCTGAACATATATCTTTTTAATTATTACTTTTTTTGCAAAGTATTTGAGAAAACTAGTCATAACGTCCTGAGCCAGCACATTTTGTCGGTCGCATCACATCACAGCCAAGCACTGTTTAAATGGAACAAGAGGAACTCACAATGTTTGTAAACAAAATATTTCTGATTCTTAGAAACATTTCACAAACAAAGAATCTCATCAGCAATATATACAAAATTTATAATACAACACAGAAAAATCACTTAATATTCCGCACAATTCTTCGACAATATGGTGACTTCATTTCTTGTAATGCTTCATCTAAAACCTTGGTCATGTGTACAAGATTGACGGGATCGGTGATCATCACGTGTCTCTCATCCTTCCCACAATCCTTCAGGTGAAGTTTACACAGAATCTGGGGAGTAGTTTGTCTCCGTAACGATCGAGATGCAAGCTGCAATAATAAATACACTATTTCATATATGCATTTAAAAACTCAAAGATGATTCACATCTTATCTTGATGTTGCAGTGTTTCTTTATTCCTAGCTCAAACAAACATGATATAAGGCAAAAAAAAATAATGAAATGTGGGAAATATTGTCCCCATTACGTAAGATATGACAACCCCCAAAACAACAAATATTGCATGTTCTTTCATGCATGTTATTCTATATAACTGTTCTTTTATGCTTTCCTTAATGGAATTATATGTATTATATGTATTTCAAATCTCATAATTCCCTAATATTAGACAGAATCACCTTAAACTAGCCCAATGAATAAGGGGAGACAACTCATGCAAGATCCATGCTACTGAAGGCAATCAGTTGCAATTTCAAGATAGATGATCATTTGTTTGAAAATTAACACAAGTTTTTTTATCCTCAACATGATTTGTAGCAATAAACAAATAGCAAAAGATAATTCAAATAAAAACATATACTTGTTTTTAGTCATTAAATGCAAGACGTTTTGTTAAACTTGGCTAACAAAACTTAACAGACCAATCCATCCACACAATGCTCTACTCCCATCATGTAAGTTTGACTGCAGCCATTTTGTCCTTCATCACATGATCACCCAATGGAGCAGAACATGGACACCAGTATTACCATTGCAACATTGTTACACTATTTACAGTATCAAAATGATTCACTGTGACCCTGTTACTATGATCACATGTCATATTGTTACACAAATACTATGACTACACTGTTACATTATTTTCATGAATACACTCTTAGAAATGATTCGATTTCATACATGGCTCACAAATATGGCGGACGTAGACTAGAAACAAACAGAGCCTGGCACACAATCACTGCGCTAACTTCCTACCTGAACATCGAACCTCCATTCCAGATCGTGGTAGTGGGGCAGGTCCATGGCCATCTCTGCCAAGGTAGCTCGGACCTCCCTGTGGTTGTCCAGGAACACCTGCAGGATCGCCTGCTGCATCTCCTCGCTGAATCCCAGACACATGATGGAGTCTTGGAAGTCGATTTCATTCAGCTGAAGAGCAGATCCGTAGAATGAGTGAGGTGGGGTTTCACAAAAACTAATTCAGCTAGTTATACCTTTTGCTACATATTACAACAATAAATATAAATTAACAATTGCAACCTCTCGAAAACTGGGCAATGTGGAACACAGAGAAGTTCAAAATAGATAGTTACAAAGTTAGTTCAAATTTAGCATCATGTTTGGTAGTATAAGGTAGGTGTATCATGACATGCATACTTACAGGCGAGAGCTAATTGGCCAAAAATAGAATACTCTGCTCTTTAACTCTATAAGTGGATACCTACCATCAACTTGGAGCCCTCAGTGAGAAGGTACATCAGTCCCTCAACCCCATTTTTCACCACTTCGGGACTAACTTCCAGTTTTTCTGCAAAATTAGAAGACACACATACTGGTGACTCTGAGTGATCCACCACTGATGACAGATATTGAATACTTGGGGCTGAGGTGATCTGTGTCTCATTCAGTAAGAAGGACTTTGTGATTACTGTCTGTGAAATGTCAAGGTCCCAACATCTAGCACTGCTATTTCATGAAAGTAAAAGGGCTCACATTCAGATAATCTGGCTATTATAATTACATGTGAGACAAAATCTGAATCTCTTACGTGATGCACTTTGATACACCTTGGGGTTAGCTCCTTTCCTTATGAAATTCAAACTTATTTTGCAGAATTCTTGCACAACTGAAAATGTAAGAAAATCATTAAAGAATCAAATTTATGTGATGAAGATTTAAAAATTAAGCTTGCAACGAAACATATAGGACAAGTGAAATATTTAACGCACTTTGATACTGTAAAGCTTAAACGGTCATTACTTTTTTCAACATGGGCTCACTATCACACTGATTATTAATTTTCAGAACAAACATGTATATTTCTGCCACGCCCCCTTCTAAAAAAACAACTGAGAAAGATATTACCGTCGGTGCTGACATCGCTCAGAAAAGAAAGATGTTCTTTGTGCTTATCTTCAAGGACAAGCAACATAATTCTTTTATTTTTAAACCGCACAACCACAAATATCGTAATTTTCACTTCAACATCACTTTAGCATGTGATTGAACGTACTACGCAGGTGCAACTTATACTGGATATCCGTTTACAACCAGAATGTACTACGCAGGTGCAACTTATACCGGATATCCGTTTACAACCAGAATATTCTTATCAACAATTTTAATGCAGTAGTAATATTCATAAAACATTATATACCACTATGCATGTATTTCGGCTTTATGAATAATTTGTCCAAAATTATTACATTTCTTTATTAGTAAAATATTTCATTTAACTATTTATAAAATGTGTGAGCATTTTTCATCAATGCAAAACGAAATTGTAGAATTATGAAATAAGTTTTAGTTTAGTAGTACAAAACGTTATATCCGGCGGAAACCATCCAGATTGTGGCTGTATTTACAAACTGAGCCCGGGAGATTCGGAAGTTTTGAATGACAGACTAACTATTTATTTGTTTTAGGGATAAAACTAAAGACAGGCGATATTGGCTTTAAAAAACGAAAATGTACTTCTCTCCCGTATGTTTAGATATTACCTAATCTTGCAAATACACCTTAGTTGTGTCTTGTACGTTTTCCGAAACCAGCCGGAACAAGCAGTAACATGTTTGTAAGTTGATGTCGTAAATTGAATAATCAATCACTTTCAGTGTCAGAAGATTAATCCATATAGTAAAATACAGTTTAGCGGACTTTTAGGGGATATTATTCGGATTTGAAACATGCTCAAAATGATGCTTGAACTCAAAGGTTAGGCATTCTTCTCAGAATGTGGGTCTAACTTGAATTTAGTTGTCTTGGACCCACGTTTACTTGATAAACTCGAAATAGAATATTATAGTCAGAACGGATTATTTCCACGGTGAGGTTGTGATGAAAAGATATTATGTGAGGTAGTGGTGAAACTAAGCTTAGTTTATAGCTGTAATTTTCTGTTTTGAAATGTCCTGCATCATAAAAGAATAATTTCAATTCATCATTCATAATATTTACACAAAGTTCATCACTGATAGATTGTATACAGTTCATTGGTGGATTTAATTATTTGCCTGTGAACTTGCATATTTGTGAATTAAGTGTTATAAAACTACTGACTCCTGCTAAGTGTGATTAATCACATGTTAATTAATTTAAGTGATTGAGTAAATAGGGGCTTGTAAATAGGTTAAATAGTTCAAAGATTAGGTGTTTACTTGATTATTAATCAGATTACCCATACTCTTGAGTGTAATCCCTGAAATGTGTCTACTCTTTGTTCACTGATGTATTACTGTATTACAGTTTTTCATCTTTGATTACAGGGAAGGGTTATAGATGCATATGAAATGTTATGGGAGAGTCAGACATGTTAAGCAAATATCACTGCTATGGTGCTATGGAGTACATGAATTTCATCTATAACATTTATTTGTACATGCACATTTAGCATCAGTCTGTTTTTTTCCTGTCTGTTCAGTGTTGTGACTTTTACAACCATTGTTAGTTTGAGAGGTGACATAGTGGACTGGCACATATCTCACAAAGTTTATCACCTGACAACATAGATTAATGCTCATATTTACAGTCACTGGATTGCTTGTGATGACTTCATTATTTACAGACACATATAGCTGAACTTTTGTGAAATGTGGCTTCGAACAAAGAATCCACAATCAATATTTTCTGTTTCAGATGATGGTCTTGGGTGTATATTCGAGCTGAGAATACAAAATGGAAAAACTCTCTGGTCTCTGGCTTGAATTGCAAAAAAAGGATAAGTAAGTTACAAAGTACCAGTATGTTATTGTACTTGTCTCCATTTCCAAATTTATAATGATGTTTTGTGGTATTGTTTTGGATGAAGCTTGATAGATCTGCTACAGTATGATATTATGTAACAGTGTTAACTTTATTTGTATGTTTGTTGTTTAATGCAGCGTACAGCAATATTCCCGCTATATGGCAGCAGTCTGTAAATAATTGAATCTGGACCATACATTCCTGCGATCAACATCATGAGCATTGATCTATGTCACCCACCCATGCAGAATCTTAAAGTGTGTTTTTCATAGATTATGCAGCCCAATAAGCACATTATTACAATGCTTTGCTCTGTGTTGACATATGGATGGGGGAAGCAATGTCATCATGAGCTGATAGTCTGATTTGTGTAGGAGGTAGAAGTTGCCAAGACAATTAGTTGATGACAGGAGCTGTTCGTTAATTTATTATAGCATTGTGTATCAGTTACACAAGCAAACAGCTGTGTAACCAAGGTTACCAGAAGGGGGAGTTGACATAATGCAAGGAGGTGATAGTCACATTTTTACACTATCGTGTTACCTAGGTTACCAGGAGGGGGATTGACGTCGTCGTGTCAGGAGGAGCTGCTGGAGCTGATGAGACAGTTGGACATCATGTTGACGGCCAAACGGAGAGACTGGGAGCATGAGACAGCAGCCATTAGGAGTCAGCTGGAGATGAAGGACAAGGAGTTGAACATCCAGACCACGACGCTCGAACACAAGAACAGACAGGTTGGTACATGACACTAGAACACAAGAACAGACAGGTGGGTACATGACACTAGAACACAAGAACAGACAGGTGGGTACATGACACTAGAACACAAGAACAGACAGGTGGGTACATGACACTAGAACACAAGAACAGACAGGTGGGTGCATGACACTAGAGCACAAGAACAGACAGGTGGGTACATGACACTAGAACACAAGAACAGACAGGTGGGTACATGACACTAGAACACAAGAACAGACAGGTGGATACATGACACAAGAACAGACAGGTGGATACATGATACTAGAACACAAGAACAGACAGGTGGGTACATGACACTAGAGCACAAGAACATACAGGTGGGTACACGCTGCTCGAACACAAGAACAGACAGGTGGGTACACGCCGCTCGAACACAAGAACAGACAGGTGGGTACACGCCGCTCGAACACAAGAATAGACAGGTGGGTACACGCCGCTCGAACACAAGAACAGACAGGTGGGTACACGCTGCTCGAACACAAGAACAGACAGGTGGGTACATGACGCTTCAACAGAAGAATACACAGATGGGTACACGGCGCTAGAACACAAGAACAGACGTGGGTACACTACAGGAAGGTTGGTGCATCATAGCATCCTTCTCCGTTTCTTGTATCACTGACTTTGCACAGAATTCTTTCTTTATGCTTACAGTGGTCATTAGTTTGTATTTACTATGTCAGTGCTTGTGAGTCTTGAAAGAGTTGTACATGATGGTGTCACAACTTTGACAATAACTCACACGCATTGGTTTTTCCTCTATTACTGTTGAAACAGTCACTCAATCTTTGCCATACAAGTGTGCCAGCATCGATGTTGATGTTGAATTTGTTGCAGTTTGAGGACATGAAGTCACAGCTGACCCAGGCAAGTCGGACGCGGGACGAGGTTGTTCAGCAGTACGTGGCGCAGGTTGTTCAACTCAGCAACGAGGTACACGGTCACCATTATCGCACATATATAGTATGACCAGAAATTATTGAGAACTTTAGGAATATGTTTAATTGGATTTCTAGTATAAACAACCTTGACCAGCTATCAAGTGCTTGGTTTCATTCAAGAGAGACAACTCTGTTAATCCTTTTTCATTAGTTTGTGAAGAGTTATCCCACTTTGTTTACTTGCTAGCAGACGACATATTCAGTGATCCTCAGTATGGATGATTTAGAGAAGAGGAAGTTGATTTTAGAGTATTATAACAAGGACATCAGATCAGCTAAAGTGATTTCAAGTAGAACAGACATCCCTTTGTCCACTGTTTATCGTGTTTGGAAAAATATTGCAAATGGATATGGCATTGAGCACCATGGAGGCGCAGGTAGGCCCAGAAAACTGACTGTCGGTGACAGGAGGCGGCTTGGTATTCTTGTTTCTAAAAACAAACGAAGGAGTAAAACTTAAGAAAACTTAAGGCTGGATATGATTGATAGAGGAACTGTGGCTGTCTGTAAGGAGACAATTAGAACTGAGCTGCATGCAATGGGTTGGCAGAAAAGTCAAGGAATTTCCATCACCGATCGTGAGACCTGAACAAAAGGAGCGAATGTTGAACTGGTGCTTACAGCATAGAAATTTTAACTTGTACAATGTGATTTTCTCAGATGAAAGTTCTGTGTGGCTGTTTCCTAATACACTGAAATTCTGGACCAAACAAACTGAAAAACTTTTGTATCAGCGCCCAAAGTACAGTCCGAAATTTAACGTGTGGGGTGGCATATCTGTGTTAGGGGCAACGCCCCTGAGTGTATTTGAAGGGAATATGAACAGTGAGCGGTACACAGATATTCTCGAGGGACATTTACTTCCATCTGCTCACGTGTTCTATGGGCATTTTTGGATTTTCCAGCAGGACAACGACCCAAAACATCGTTCAAAGCATTCCCAGGCCTGGTTTCGGACCCAAAATATGACATTATTAGATTGGCCAAGCTATAGCCCTGACTTAAATCCAATAAAACATGTTTGGGGACTTATGAAGGAAAGTGTCAATAAGAAAAATCTGACAAATATTGCTGAAATGAAAGAAGAGGTGGTCCGGACATTTGTAACTTTCTAACTTCTTTGATCAGTAGTATGCCCCGCCACATTGAAGCCTGCATTGCTGCCCATGGTGACTTGACAAAATACTAACTGTTCACCTGTCTTTGAATCTGGAGTTATGTTCTGCTAATATTCACATTTAATACGTGAGTAATGAGCGAAAAAATATTAAAAATTACAATCTTTATATTTTTCAATAATTTCTGGTTGTACTGTATCTCTGTACTGTTACCATAAAACCCGTGGCCCTGTCCAGTTTGGGGGATCTAAGAGGCAGCATGCTGTCGCTGACATGTGCTCTGTTGGTACTGTTACCATAAAACCCGTGGCCCTGTCCAGTTTGGGGATCTAAGAGGCGGCATGCTGTCGCTGACATTCGCTCTGTTGGTACTGTTACCATAAAACCCGTGGCCCTGTCCAGTTTGGGGATCTAAGAGGCTGCATGCTGTCGCTGACATTCGGCTCTGTTGGTACTGTTACCATAAAACCCGTGGCCCTGTCCAGTTGGGGGATCTAAGAGGGGCATGCTGTCGCTGACATGTGCTCTGTTGGTACTGTTACCATAAAACCCGTGGCCCTGTCCAGTTAGTTTGGGGATCTAAGAGGCATGCATGCTGTCGCTGACATGTGCTCTGTTGGTACTGTTACCATAAAACCCGCGGGCCCTGTCCAGTTGGGGATCTAAGAGGCGGCATGCTGTCGCTGACATGTGCTCTGTTGGTACTGTTACCATAAAACCCGTGGCCCTGTCCAGTTGGGGATCTAAGAGGCTGCATGCTGTCGCTGACATGTGCTCTGTTGGTACTGTTACCATAAAACCCCGTGGCCCTGTCCAGTTTGGGGATCTAAGAGGCGCATGCTGTCGCTGACATCTCGCTCTGTTGGTACTGTTACCGTAAAACCCGTGGCCCTGTCCAGTTGGGGATCTAAGAGGCATGCTGTCGCTGACATGTGCTCTGTTGGTACTGTTACCATAAAACCCGTGGCCCTGTCCAGTTTGGGGATCTAAGAGCGGCATGCTGTCGCTGACATTCGGGCCTGTTGGTACTGTTACCATAAAACCCGTGGCCCTGTCCAGTTAGGGGATCTAAGAGGCGGCATGCTGTGTCGCTGACATTCGCTCTGTTGGTACTGTTACCATAAAACCCGTGGCCCTGTCCAGTTTGGGGATCTAAGAGGCGCGCATGCTGTCGCTGACATTCGCTCTGTTGGTACTGTTACCATAAAACCCGTGGCCCTGTCCAGTTTGGGAATCTAAGAGGCGGCATGCTGTAAGCTGACATTCGCTCTGTTGGTACTCGTTACCATAAAACCCGTGGCCCTGTCCAGTTTGGGGGATCTACGAGGCGGCATACTGTCGCTGACATTCGGCTCTGTTGGTACTGTTACCATAAAACCCGTGGCCCTGTCCAGTTGGGGATCTAAGAGGCGGCATGCTGTCGCTGACATTCGCTCTGTTGGTACTGTTACCATAAAACCCGCGGCCCCCTGTCCAGTTGGGGATCTACGAGGGCGGCATGCTGTCGCTGACATTCGCCTCTGTTGGTACTGTTACCATAAAACCCGTGGCCCTGTCCAGTTTGGGAATCTAAGAGGCGGAATGCTGTCGCTGACATGTGCTCTGTTGGTACTGTTACCATAAAACCCATGGCCCTGTCCAGTTGGGGATCTAAGAGGCGGCATGCTGTCGCTGACATTCGCTCTGTTGGTACTGTTACCATAAAACCCGCGGGCCCTGTCCAGTTGGGGATCTAAGAGGCTGCATGCTGTCGCTGACATGTGCTCTGTTGGTACTGTTACCATAAAACTCGTGGCCCTGTCCAGTTGGGGATCTAAGAGGCGGCATGCTGTCGCTGACATGTGCTCTGTTGGTACTGTTACCATAAAACCCGTGGGCCCTGTCCAGTTGGGGATCTAAGAGGCGCATGCTGTCGCTGACATTCAGCTCTGTTGGTACTGTTACCATAAAACCCGCGGGCCCTGTCCAGTTTGGGGATCTAAGAGGCGCTTGCTGTCGCTGACATTCGCATCTGTTGGTACTGTTACCATAAAACCCGTGGCCCCTGTCCAGTTTGGGGATCTAAGAGGCGCATGCTGTCGCTGACATTCGGCTCTGTTGGTACTGTTACCATAAAACCCGTGGCCCTGTCCAGTTGGGGATCTAAAGGCGGCATGCTGTCGCTGACATGTGCTCTGTTCAGTACTGCTACCATAAAACCCATGGCCCTGTCCAGTTGGGGATCTACGAGTCGGCATGCTGTCGCTGACATTCGCTCTGTTGGTACTGTTACCATAAAACCCGTGGCCCTGTCCAGTTTGGGGATCTAAGAGGCTGCATGCTGTCGCTGACATGTGCTCTGTTGGTACTGTTACCATAAAACCCGTGGCCCTGTCCAGTTGGGGATCCAAGAGGCGGAATGCTGTCGCTGACATTCGCTCTGTTGGTACTGGTATCCATAAAACCCGTGGCCCTGTCCAGTTGGGGATCTAAGAGGCGCATGCTGTCGCTGACATGTGCTCTGTTAAGTACTGTTACCATAAAACCCGTGGCCCTGTCCAGTTTGGGGATCTAAGGGCGGCATGCTGTCGCTGACATTCGCTCTGTTGGTACTGTTACCATAAAACCCGTGGCCCTGTCCAGTTTGGGGATCTAAGAGGCGGCATGCTGTCGCTGACATTAAGCTTCTGTTGGTACTGTTACCATAAAACCCGCGGCCCCTGTCCAGTTGGGGATCTAAGAGGCGGCATGCTGTCGCTGACATGTGCTCTGTTGGTACTGTTACCATAAAACCCGTGGCCCTGTCCAGTTGGGGATCTCGAGGCGGCATGCTGTCGCTGACATTCGCTCTGTTGGTACTGTTACCATAAAACCCGTGGCCCTGTCCAGTTGGGGGATCTAAGAGGCGGCATGCTGTCGCTGACATGTGCTCTGTTGGTACTGTTACCATAAAACCCGTGGCCCTGTCCAGTTTGGGGATCTAAGAGGCGGCATGCTGTCGCTGACATTCGCTCTGTTGTGTTAGAAACTTTCACTGTTAACATTTCAGTGTTGGCAATGTCTGGCAATAGATGAAATACATGGGATAATCAAAGATGCGAGCAGCAGCAGGTTATGTATTGACACAGTCTAATCTGGCAACCACAGTTGGCAATGTCTGGCAATAGATGAAATACATGGGATAATCAAAGATGCGAGCAGCAGCAGGTTATGTATTGACACAGTCTAATCTGGCAACCACGGTTTTAATCTTGGAGCATTTGTGTATTTTAATGTTTGGTTAAGGTTGCAAATAATCTCCAACTGTTCAAGGGATGCTATGAATCCTGCTGGGTGTGAACCATGCAAGCCTGTATTCATACAAGTGCACCTCCTGCCTCAGGGGTGATGGTCATGTGATCCATTGCTTTCGCTGACGTGTCTGTCCCGGCAGTCATTGGTCTTTGATTACTGTTGTATGATCCGCTATTTACGATGACGTATCTGTTTCAGGTCCAGCGAATGAAGCGGGAGTATGAGAAGCTCCACAAGAAGCACACCCGCCACACGAAGGAGGCTCACCGTCTCAAGGCCGAGACCACCAGCGAGATCGAGGGCGGCAAGACTGAGATGAAACGACTCCGAGACAAGATGGAGGTGGGGCACACTGTGTACTGCTGTCTAGAAATGCTACCTTTTGGTACCTAGAATCAGTGGGACGAAAAAGGGGGTCTGACTATCTGCCTATGTGAAAGATTTCACTCATTTTTGATGTGCTGGAGTTGTACACTCACATGAAGAATAAACAACACAAACATATATTTTTCCCACACCAAAAGTCAAGTCATGTTTCTACAGATATAAATGCAATTTTTATATTCCAAGTTTTATTTGCTGACGAGTAAGTAAAATATTATAAAGATAACCAACTCATTTACTGTTGTGTATAGATATTCTTGAAAAACAAGAAGCCTTGGTAAGGTGTATGTTTGTGTATTGGATGGCTGTGTACAGGTATGATAGATGTTTGGGGATGTGTTTATATTTAAACTATTGTATTTACTGGGAATGGGATGGGTGCAAGTTGGGTGATCACTTGATTGTCCAGACTCAATTATTTATATTCCGCTGGAATATTGCTGAGAGCGATATAAAACTAAACTCACTCACTCACTCACTCACTTACACACTCAAAGATGTTATGATATTGACTGGTTCTGTAACTGTAACATGTTATATTTGTTCTGTAACTGTATCTCAGATAAAATGGCCAGGAATCAAACAAATTTGTATGGATCTTTCCTTCACAGGGACTGGTAAAGTTTAATATGGAGAACAACTGTTTGCAGTTATTAACTGAAAGTAATTGGAAGGAATTTTGGACAATGTTTCAGCAACAGTCTCAGACCTACCAGTCTCAGATAGACCGGCGCCGACAACTCCAGGACAACACTGAGCTCAACCTGAAGACAACCATCACCCAGCTGGAGGGGCAGGCCGAGAGACAGGGCGACACCATCACCACACAGGTAGGTAGTCATCACTACGCAGGTAGACACCATCACCACACAGGTAGGTAGTCCTCACTACACAGGTAGTCCTCACTACACAGGGCGACACCATCACCACACAGGTAGGTAGTCATCACTATGCAGGTAGTCGTCACTACACAGGTAGACACCATCACCACACAGGTAGGTAGTCATCACTACACAGGTAGTCGTTACTACACAGGGCGACACCATCACCACACAGGTAGGTAGTCATCACTACACAGGTAGTCGTCACTACACAGGGCGACACCATCACCACACAGGTAGGTAGTCGTCACTACACAGGTAGACACCATCACCACACAGGTAGGTAGTCATCACTACACAGGTAGTCCTCACTACACAGGGCGACACCATCACGACACAGGTAGGTAGTCATCACTACACAGGTAGTCGTTACTACACAGGGCGACACCATCACCACACAGGTAGGTAGTCATCACTACACAGGGCAACACCATCACCACACAGGTAGGTAGTCATCACTACACAAGTAGACGCCATCACCACACAGGTAGACACCATCACCACACAGGTAGGTAGTCATCACTACACAGGTAGACACCATCACCCAGCTGGAGGGGCAGGCCGAGAGACAGGGCGACACCATCACCACATAGGTAGGTAGTCATCACCACACAGGTAGACACCATCACCACATAGGTAGGTAGTCATCACCACACAGGTAGACACCATCACCACACAGGTAGGTAGTCATCACCACACTGGTAGGTAGTCATCACCACACTGGTAGGTAGTCATCACTACACAGGTAGACACCATCACCACACAGGTAGGTAGTCATCACCACACAGGTAGATAGTCATCACTACGCAGGTAGACACAGCTGGAGGGGCAGGCCAAGAGACAGGGCGACACCATCACCACACTGGTAGGTAGTCATCACCACACAGGTAGACACCATCACCACACAGGTAGGTAGTCATCACTACACAGGTAGACGCCATCACCACACAGGCAGTGTTCACGAATGGTGTTTCAAAGTAACAGGACATTGGGTCCTGTAAGTTTCAGATGTCTGTCTGACCCGTTGAAAATTCACAGGACCCATAGAATATAATTAAACTCACATTTCAGATTTAACATCTCTTATAATTGGCATTGAAATTATTAACAAACATAAGATTTATAAACAGCAATAAACAGCAAACAAGTGTCACATGTCACATATGACAACTTCAGTCAAAGTCATTGTGAAATATACAGTCAGACACTGGGGCCGGTGGGTTGTAGACTTCTATCGGACCGTTGGTGAATCTACCGGATTTGTCAGAGGGTCAGACGCTATTCGTGAACACTGCACAGGTAGACACCATCACCACACAGGTAGGTAGTCATCACCACACAGGTAGGTAGTCATCACCACACTGGTAGGTAGTCATCACTACACAGGTAGACACCATCACCACACAGGTAGACACCATCACCACACAGGTAGATAGTCATCACCACACAGGTAGATAGTCATCACTACGCAGGTAGACACCATCGCCCAGCTGGAGGGGCAGGCCAAGAGACAGGGCGACACCATCACCACACAGGTAGGTAGTCATCACCACACAGGTAGGTAGTCATCACCACACAGGTAGATACCATCACCCCGCTGCAGGTGAGAGACCACCATTGTCTATCTTGAGGTCTAGACAATTGGACACTATCACAGGATCAGTTCCTTACATGGTTACTTCATTCCTGCCATTTGTTTGGATATTACTGAAAACAGTGTAAACATTCCCTCACTTCCTCCCTTCTATTGAAACAGGAGGAGAAGATACGGAAGTTGAAGGCGTCGCTGAGTGAGGCTATGAATGCCCACAAACGTGCAATGAACGACAATGAGAGACTGCTGGATGATCTGAAGAAATCAAATACCAGCATCAGAGTAAGAGCTTCTCGGACAAAACTTCTGTGTACCCCAAACAAGACCCAACATAATCAGATCCTAGCTGGAAGACATATAAAATATGAATGATAACCCAAACACAAAGAAAAACAATTCCCCTTTTTCAGGACAATATGCATTAGCACCCTGCCCTCTAGGCACTAGGATTATTTTTCCTTATCCTGACTCATGTTTATTTGCTTGTCTTCTTCTTCTGGCGAACCTAGTGGAACACTTGTATCTCCCAATTGAAGTTCCCTTCAATAAAAAATCACTCATTAGTACTGACCACGAGTTACCTCCCTTCCACAAGCGCGTGAACGAGGGCGCCACCTGAACCCATGTGCCTCGCTCTCTCCTTCTTCGCCCAGTGAGCAAGACGTGAGAGCACCTGTGTCTCCCTGCACACTATATCCTTTTTTTATATTTAGTTTGTTACCTCTTATATTCATCTATAGAGGTGTAACTAGTATCATTATTCAACATGCATTGATAATTATTCGTGTTTCTGCTGCTTGATTCACGGTTCGCCGTGTTTGCTCAGCAGTTTCATGCGTTAATAAAAATCTGCACTGTTTGTAAAGTGCGTTACTCTGCTACCGATCCACATTTAAAATGCCCTAGTTGCATTACTCCATGTTCTATTGTTTCTCGTTGTAAATTATGTATTAATTTACCAATTTCTGCCTTTGATAAATATTTATGTTCCGTTTTTAGACGGAAGGCAGATAAATCTCGGAAACAATCTTCAGTCATGGCTAATAGATCGGAGTCAGATATATCCTGAGTTACCTTCGGGGGATAAGCGTGGGACGCAGTCCGCTATATCTAGAAGCGACCTGCTTCCCAGGACGTTCCTTTATCACAGTCTAAAACTAGAAGAACTTCCACGTCGTCTCAACGTATGCTCTGAGCCCCCAGGTCTACAGCCTCGTCAAAGGGAAATCCACGAAGACTACTAAAAAACTTTGCTTCTGATATTCAGAATTATGTTTATATGATGATGACATTTCGATTATCATTCCAGATGTATGTCATAAGAAGTGACCAGTGCGGCTACCGTCACTTCAGCGCAGAATCAACATGCAATCAGAGATGCCTACGCTGGCGCCGGAGATTATAACTGAGGGTCCGTCACTATCACAGAGAGGACACCCTCAACGCCAGCGCAGACCATCCCAGGCGGCGTGGTCAACCAAATCATGAGGCTGATGGAAGACCGTTACGGCTTACAGAGGCCTCAGAGCCACGGGCCCCAGAGCCCACCCCATACTAAGTCATACAGGGCCCCAGAGCCGCCTTGACTTCAGCGTAGGGCCCCTGAGCCCATAGGCGCCTCGGCGAAGGGCAACCCTGCCGGAGTGAGCTCTTTGCATAAGGTATACCAGGCGCCTCGAGGAGGAGCTATAGAGCCTGACCCTTTGCAAGAGGCTTCTTGCGGAGAAGAGCGCCTTCGCCAGCACGCACCTTGTCATATGCGAAGTTATGCGTTCAGCAAGCACTCATATGTCGGATCGGACACTGACTCCAGACATTTGCGCAAGACGCGAAGGCTAAGTGGTTCTACAACCCCTAGGAGGCGTTCGCGTAGCCCTCAACGTTCGAGAAGTCCAGAGCATCTGCGAAGCCATCACCGTTCTCGTAGCCCAGTCTCCGCGAAGGATGTCTTCTCCAAGGTCTACATACACTAGCCAATCGTCAGTCCGTTCTCCTCAGTCCTCACATAGATCTTCTTACAGATCGAGGCTCCGACATACGACCATACGTCAGAGGAAGACGATGGTATCATTTAAGATCGGACTCTAGACACTTCGCTAAGGAAGTCCCACGCCTCCGCGAAGAGCTAGAGCCTCACCAGTTGAGAGGGACATCGGCGAGAAGGAGCTTACGCCGAGCCCACACCCTGTAGAACACAGAGGTCGATTCAGCGAAGCAGCTCATATATTGATCGGACTCTGACTTCGATACTTTCGCGAAGGTCGCGAAGGCTAAGTGGCTCCAAGTCTACTTCACCCAGAAGATCTAGAAGCGCTATCGAGGATCTTGGCGAAGTCCCAGCGTTACGGTGGAAGTCTCCTCCAAGGTCTCCATATACTAGCCACTCGTCATATATAGCCACTTTCGTCAGTCCGTTCAAGACATCACATGAGTTGTTTATCAACTGTAAGCCATATGTCGCCTACAAGCCTCTGCACAAGACAATTGCACAGGCTATTTACAACACACAACGCCGCTGTATTAATTTATCAACGGATGAAGAGCCTAATTAGGGATCTTCAAGCGACTACCTCCTACGATAACGATTATCTACATGCGTGACCATTACGCGAGATCTGCAGACAATTCAAAACGAAATTGAACAGCAGTCTTGTTACAGCGAGTAAAACTCATAATCGTCAACCCGATTTCCTCAGAAGTAATATGTACAACAAGTTCAGCTTTAACAGTCTACAAGCTGACAACTTGCAAGGTTATTGAACCTTATATAAGGAAGTCGGAATTATCTTCAAGACTGAAGTTACTTTCGACAGCCTGGAAAATAACTTACCAGCATTAATATTACAGAGCGCGGTATTTCGGCCGGAGGTATTTCGCGGCGTTTACCATCAACCCTCGAAATGCGTGGTCACCGGGTAACTTCGAAGTTACGGTGAAGACCGACGATTGTTCTAATATCAACGGCTGGCACTATATTATACAAGGTTCCTTTCCTGATACACCGGTGGCGTCACAGCGTGGGTACTCTACAGAATCAAAATGCCTTGTTCTGATTGGACCGAGATGGACAACGCCCTAAGCAGAAGATTCGATCATAGTTCACAGTTCAACACATAGGTTGCAAGTGACAACAATATATCAGTGAACGAGCAAGCCTCCTTACAGTCCAGCTAATCTAAACCTTCATGATTGGGCTGCCTTCTTGAGGTTAGAGACCTCCCCTGTCAAGTAAGGACGAGGACACGGCAGTCAGGCGATTTTTACATAAAGTTCAACGATGGCAGTCACCCCTGGTTATGCATCTACATCGCCAAGCACTTCAAGAGGCGAATTTACCTCGACGACGGGATACAAATGGATCCAAATCCATAGCGTCTCAGACTACAGTTGAATTCATCATCAAGCTACTAACACAACTAGATGGTTAGTAAACCTACTTAAGTTGGACCTAGAACCTTTGCAAGATCTGCTATTTCTAGGTTTTTGATTTGTAACGGCGCAGAATCGTATAATTGTACCGGAGGACCATGGATCAAGATCCAACAGTCATTTCCACAAGCCTTACTATCTCCGCTACCACTACGACAGTGACAGAGTCTGTTGGGGCTACGCACTTCAGCTCAGCTCAAGACATGACAGACAGAGGCAGACTACAATTACATCCGTTACAAGTCATCAGCAATTCGCATCTAGGACGCAATCTCTACCGTTCAATTCATCGGTTCAGGTCAAACCTCATCTACTATGATGCACCAAGAGATCGAATGTTTGAATAGGCGTCTGCGTTAATAGAGCTGGAATCGATAACACTTCTCGTAGATGTGTCACTATAAGGATGGGGAGCCCATCTTGCCAACAGGACGGCATCAGGGCTATGAGCAATCAAGAGAGCAATTACACATAAATCTGCTAGAGATGCAAGCAGTAATAAACGCCTTAATACACTGGAGCAACTTACTACAGTATACCCAGTGGATGATTCACACAGTCAATTCGACAGTGGCGTTTTTATGTGAACAAACTAAGCTCAACCAGGTCCCCGAACATATCGACTCTGTTTTCAATTGTTGATTTAATCAACAATCTCAACATACATGTCAGAGCATATCACATTCCAGGAGCAAAGAATGTGATAGCAGACGCTTCTCTCTCGGCCACACATACCATCGCCGACAGAATGAATGCTCCATACAGAGATATTCACTCAAATTATCAAGGAAATAGGAACTACACTAATAGACCTATTTACCATTCGATTCAACAAACAACTGACAACATTCAGTATCGCCAGTTCAGACCCACTAGCATTGGCAACAGACGCACTAAGCATATCGTGGGAAGGTCTAAACGCGTAATGCGCTTTTCCGCCACCAGCGTTAATCTCACAAGTTTACTCTAAGTCAGTCTAAAGCAGAGCCTCCATCTGATTTTGGTCATGGCCTACTGACCAGCGAGGAAGTGGTTTCCAACACTTATTCAAGAAATCGGACAACCAATACTACATCTTACAGAGTGCTCGAATCTGTTAATACATCCGCACACCAAACAAGCACGGAAAGCCAGATATATTCCAACTTCGCGTATGGATTGTATCAAAGGCGTGTCTGAATAACAAGTTATTCAGCCAGAGCTGACAAAGCAGTCTAACTTGCCCTGCGTAACTCAACTGGCAACTTATCACGATGACAAATGGCACAGTTTTGTCAATTATGCTGCAAAGGAAGGATTTACAGCTAGATATGCTACTCATCCTCAAGTGGCGGACTACTTATGTTATCTACGTCAGACTAAGATTTTATAAGGCTCAGCTTGTCCACCTATCTTGCAGCAATAGCTCTATCATAACTGAGAGAGCGGTCAAGTTAACCTAACCCAGTTACTGCGCCTGCTCTACGAGCTTTCCGATTGGAGGATTAAAGCGGAAGTTCACGCTCCAACTTGGGATCTGAATATAGTGCTCCAACACCTCACAAGTGAGGTTTATGAACCAGCTTTGATGATATACTTGAACCCCATGATCACGATGAATCTATCACAATGGCCAGTAACAACACTGAAAATATATCTCCACCGAGCCAAACAGGAGGGAAAATTGCAAGAGATTTATTTCCTCTATCAAGCTACGCAGACGGAAGTCTCACGTACTACTATATCTCCTTTTGGATCAGAACTGTCATACTACGTGCCTACAAGACTGTAGGACTCAACCCTCCATGAGCTTCTAATCCTCATAATATTAGAGCGCTAACATCTACAATTGCTCTACACAAATTCTTTTGGAATAATGGAGGGTTATTTCTGGAGATCCGATATGGTGTTTGCCAACCACTATCTGAGAGATATCACCACCGAGGACGTCTCAGGTATCCACCTATTCGGTCCCATGGTCCTCGCACAACAGTTGACAGTTCCTCGGGAGAAGATAAGTCCATCTTACAGAATTTTACTTATCTTATAACAGTACTAAATAGCTACATGCTATATATATTTTGCTTAAGTTCAATTTATTATCTTAAGCTCAGTACTATGGTTATTATATCATACAATATGTAAGCTAACAACTCTACGGAGTTTGTTATTATATATTTAGCTTAAGTTAATCATATCTTAAGCTCAGTACTATGGTTACATTATAAATATATTAGCTAACAAACTCTACGGAGTTTTTTGCTATTATATATGTAGCTTAAGTTTATTCATATCTTAAGCTCATTACTATGTTTATATCATATAAGTATATTAGCTAACAAACTCTAAAGAGTTTTTTGCTATCATATACTTAGGTTCAGTTTCATCATATCTTAAGCATTATGGTTACATTATAACATGTATTAGCTAACAAACTCTACAGAGTTTTTGCTATTATATATGTAGCTTAAGTTTATTCATATCTTAAAGCTCAGTACTGTGTTTATATCATATAAGTATATTAGCTTACAAACTCTAAAGAGTTTTTACTATCATATACTTAGCTTAAGTTTCATCATATTTTAAGCATTATGGTTACATTATAAAATGTAATAGCTAACAAACTCTACGGAGTTGTTTTGGCTATTTAGGTTGCTTAAGTTAATTATATCTTAAGCACAGTTCTATAATCATACTATATATATACCTACAACTCTTAGGAGTTCTACTATTATATATATGTTCAGCTTAAGTTTCAATCCTTAAGCTCAGTCATATGTTCATTTCATAACATGTATTAGTTAACAAACTCTCAGTAGTTGGTTACTATTATACAGCTTAAAGTATCATTATACCTTAAGCACAATTCTGTTATAACTTACATATATGCATATTGTAAGCTTACTACTTTGGTTCTTATAAAAGTATTCATTATAAACTATCAACAGTTTATACTATCACATTAATAGCTTTAGCTTAATTAATGTTCTATATACTTTATTATATATTCAGTAAATTGTAATAACCCTTATATGGCAACTGATAAGTTAACAGCAGGAATTCAGTTCAGTGCCTTCATGAAGTTCCCTTAGGGTTATTACAATTATCTCAGTTCAAATCACTAATTAGTAAAATCCAAAGTATATATAATCCCACCTCCTATTCCGTAGGATTCTACAAGCAAATAAACATGAGTCAGGATAAGGAAAAATATGAAATTTTTAGAGTAAAATTAATATTTTTATACTTATCCTGACTCATGAGGTAAGCCCTCCCGTCCTCCCCACTTAACACTTTGGATTTCCCTGGAAATTCAGGTGTTGGGCTCAGTATATGAGGAGAGAGTGAGGCACATGGGTTCAGGTGGCGCCCTCGTTCCCGCGCTTGTGGAAGGGAGGTAACTCGTGGTCAGTACTAATGAGTGATTTTTTATTGAAGGGAGCTTCAATTGGGAGATACAAGTGTTCCACTAGGTTCGCCAGAAGAAGAAGACAAGCAAATAAACATGAGTCAGGATAAGTATAAAAATATTAATTTTACTCCATATGAAATAATTTCTACTGAGCAGAGTTAGCTCCCCTTCTCAATTCACCCATATGTAATGCTGTTTTAGATCAACATATCTTCCGGTATTTTCTTATTGATTCTGTACATGCAGGCAAGGCTACATAACAGTATGTCTGATAGTAACTTCATGCAGCCATGTTTTGGGTAGAAATGGTAACTTTGTCACAATGTAAGTTTTATCTTTGTTCACATAGCTTCTGAATAATCAAGCAGGGTTCCACTCTAAATTTGTTTTGAAACTATTTTGACTCGTTTTGTCATGAGCGAATATTTAGTCTGAATGGAATTAATAATTAACAGTCTTTGACTTTAGCCATTGAATGATAGCTCTGCAAGGAATATGTGAATGATATCATCAAATGAACATGCTCTAATACTTTTAGGGGGTTGTCAGATCAGTAATCCAATACAGTTGTATAAATACTCGTTACGGAGATATGTTCAAATTGTCACGTTGGTTACAGAGGTTGGAAGGGGAGAAGCAGCAGATAGAGCTGGAGGTTCATTCCCGAGAGGACCTGCTCCGTGCGGCCAACGAGGACGCCCATCAGTACAGCCACGAGGTCTCCCTGTTGGAGCAGTCTCTGTCAGCCAAAGACGATATTATCAAGTAGGTCACCAAATCATGCATCTTGACAATTACAGACTTTTGTCAGCCGTGTTGGTGGTCTTTTCTGAATTTCGTGTTGCGGCCATATTTTTTTTTTTTTGTGGCAGCCATGTTTGTTTTGTGTGGCTACCATGTTTGTTTTGTGTGGCTACCATGTTTGTTTTGTGTGGCAGCCATGTTTGTTTCATGTGGCAGCCATGTTTGTTTTGTGTGGCAGCCATATTTGTTTCGTGTGGAGGCCATGTTTGTTTCGTGTGGCGGCCATGTTTGTGAACTGCTTTGAGTTATGGTATGACTGTATTTTTCAGAAACCTTGGCGACAGTGCTCGTCAGGAGGAGGGGGAACAAGTGATGCTGCTACGTCAGTCTCTCAACGAGGCTAAGGAGGATTGCAGGTAGGGAGATGCATCTTCAGAAAGACTTTAGGGTACCAACTTGTGCAGAGGACAAGAAGAATCTTGTGATCACAGTCTTTACTTTGTGGGCAAAAATTTTGCACATCGATTTTGAAGTACCAGTATATAGACCTGAAATTTGAACTGTAAATATAGGACCAACTACAAAGGACCTAACTCTGACGATGCATGAATTTGGGTTTATACAAGTCCCCTGGGCTTGAAAACATTTCTTGTTAAGGTTGGTTTGCTTTATGACAGTGCATCTTTTTCCTTGACATACAACCCCGGGGGAACTTACATCAGGATTGGCCCATTTCTGGCATGAATTTGGGTTTATACAAGTCCCCTGGGCTTGAAAACATTTCTTGTTAAGGTTGGCTTGCTTTATGACAGTGCATCTTTTTCCTTGACATACAACCCCGGGGGAACTTACATCAGGATTGGCCCATTTCTGGTGTCACCCTGTCCCTGCCGTCATATTGCTGGAATATTGCTAAAAGTGGCATAAAACTAAACTCACTCATCAGGATTGTTTCCAGTATTGTTGACTGTAGGAGGTGGTCACACTGGTATGGCAGGGCAGAGACACAGCTGATTGGGTAATCGTTTGCTGTTGTTGTCAGGTGAAATGGGTTATACTCTGATTTTCACTGGACAGACAGGTTTTCGAATCACAGGACCCACCTCAGATTCAAACAGATGATGTAATGGCCTCTTCACTTTAGATGCCAATATTTAAGGAAAAGAACCTTCCGAATCGTTTTGATGTAATCATTTATACAATTATAGGTTACAAACTTTGAGCTCTGTTTACCGCAGACCTTGTGCATTTGGTTCCAGATTTACAAGTTGCCTTTATGACAGGTGATCCATCTTTGAATGGAATAAACAGGTGATCTAGCTTTGAACGCAATAAACAGGTGATCTAGCTTTGAACGCAATCAACGGGTGATCTAGCTTTGAACGCAGTAAACAGGTGATCTAGCTTTGAACGCACATCCTGTCGTTTATCTGCTGCCTCTCTGACTGTATTTGTTAGATCTCACAAGCGAGCCCAGAAGAAGCTGAGAGACGAGGTGACTATCCTGGAGAGCAAGCTGGAGAATTCCGTCACACTTCGAGACAGCATTGCCCAAAAGCTTGATGAGAAGGTTTGTTACAGAAGCAGGCAAAGTGGGAGTCTGAGGGTTTAGAAGTACTGACAGTATTCCTAGAGTTCAGGGTTTAGATGTACTGACAGTATTCCTAGAGTTCAGGGTTTAGATGTACTGACAGTATTCCTAGAGTTCAGGGTTTAGATGTACTGACAGTATTCCCAGAGTTCAGGGTTTAGATGTACTGACAGTATTCCCAGAGTTCAGGGTTTAGATGTACTGACAGTATTCCTAGAGTTCAGGGTTTAGATGTACTGACAGTATTCCCAGAGTTCAGGGTTTAGATGTACTGACAGTATTCCTAGAGTTCAGGATTTAGATGTACTGACAGTATTCCCAGAGTTCAGGGTTTAGATGTACTGACAGTATTCCCAGAGTTCAGGGTTTAGATGTACTGACAGTATTCCTAGAGTTCAGGGTTTAGATGATGTACTGACAGTATTCCTAGAGTTCAGGGTTTAGAAGTACTGACAGTATTCCCAGAGTTCAGGGTTTAGATGTACTGACAGTATTCCCAGAGTTCAGGGTTTAGATGTACTGACAGTATTCCCAGAGTTCAGGGTTTAGATGTACTGACAGTATTCCTAGAGTTCAGGGTTTAGATGTACTGACAGTATTCCGAGAGTTCAGGGTTTAGATGTACTGACAGTATTCCGAGAGTTCAGGGTTTAGATGTACTGACAGTATTCCCAGAGTTCAGGGTTTAGATGTACTGACAGTATTCCCAGAGTTCAGGGTTTAGATGTACTGACAGTATTCCTAGAGTTCAGGGTTTAGATGTACTGACAGTATTCCCAGAGTTCAGGGTTTAGATGTACTGACAGTATTCCCAGAGTTCAGGGTTTTAGATGTACTGACAGTATTCCCAGAGTTCAGGGGTTTAGATGTACTGACAGTATTCCTAGAGTTCAGGGTTTAGATGTACTGACAGTATTCCTAGAGTTCAGGGTTTAGATGTACTGACAGTATTCCTAGAGTTCAGGGTTTAGATGTACTGACAGTATTCCTAGAGTTCAGGGTTTAGATGTACTGACAGTATTCCTAGAGTTCAGGGTTTAGATGTACTGACAGTATTCCCAGAGTTCAGGATTTAGATGTACTGACAGTATTCCTAGAGTTCAGGGTTTAGATGTACTGACAGTATTCCTAGAGTTCAGGGTTTAGATGTACTGACAGTATTCCTAGAGTTCAGGGTTTAGATGTACTGACAGTATTCCTAGAGTTCAGGATTTAGATGTACTGACAGTATTCCCAGAGTTCAGGGTTTAGATGTACTGACAGTATTCCCAGAGTTCAGGATTTACATGTACTGACAGTATTCCCAGAGTTCAGGGTTTAGATGTACTGACAGTATTCCGAGAGTTCAGGGTTCAGATGTACTGACAGTATTCCTAGAGTTCAGGGTTTAGATGTACTGACAGTATTCCTAGAGTTCAGGGTTCAGATGTACTGACAGTATTCCTAGAGTTCAGGGTTCAGATGTACTGACAGTATTCCTAGAGTTCAGGGTTCAGATGTACTGACAGTATTCCTAGAGTTCAGGGTTTAGATGTACTGACAGTATTCCTAGAGTTCAGGATTTAGATGTACTGACAGTATTCCTAGAGTTCAGGGTTTAGATGTACTGACAGTATTCCGAGAGTTCAGGGTTTAGATGTACTGACAGTATTCCCAGAGTTCAGGATTTAGATGTACTGACAGTATTCCTAGAGTTCAGGATTTAGATGTACTGACAGTATTCCGAGAGTTCAGGGTTTAGATGTACTGACAGTATTCCGAGAGTTCAGGGTTTAGATGTACTGACAGTATTCCCAGAGTTCAGGATTTAGATGTACTGACAGTATTCCTAGAGTTCAGGATTTAGATGTACTGACAGTATTCCTAGAGTTCAGGGTTCAGATGTACTGACAGTATTCCCAGAGTTCAGGGTTTAGATGTACTGACAGTATTCCTAGAGTTCAGGATTTAGATGTACTGACAGTATTCCTAGAGTTCAGGGTTCAGATGTACTGACAGTATTCCCAGAGTTCAGGGTTTAGATGTACTGACAGTATTCCTAGAGTTCAGGGTTCAGATGTACTGACAGTATTCCCAGAGTTCAGGATTTAGATGTACTGACAGTATTCCTAGAGTTCAGGGTTCAGATGTACTGACAGTATTCCCAGAGTTCAGGATTTAGATGTACTGACAGTATTCCTAGAGTTCAGGGTTCAGATGTACTGACAGTATTCCCAGAGTTCAGGGTTTAGATGTACTGACAGTATTCCTAGAGTTCAGGATTTAGATGTACTGACAGTATTCCCAGAGTTCAGGGTTTAGATGTACTGACAGTACTGTGACTGTTTGTCCCAGTCCACCCAGCTGTGAATGGGTACCTCGTAAGGATGGAAAAGCCACAATAACTCAGTGCGCCTTGTGGTTGCAAGAGTTGTATGATCCCCAGGGAGCTGAGATTGATAATGCGATGTGCCCTTGAGATTGACATCCAATGATCGAGGGAAAAATTACCAGCGCCTTGAGCATTCACTAGTGTGTTGATATGTGCGCTATATAAACATTCAGTAATAATAATAATAATTCTGAGAGTCCAGGGTTTAGATGTACTGACAGTATTCGGAGAGTTCAGGGTTTAGATGTAGTGACAGTATTCCGAGAGTTCAGGGTTTAGATGTACTGACAGTATTCTCAGGGTTTAGATGTACTGACAGTATTCCGAGAGTTCAGGGTTTAGATATACGGACAGTATTCCCAGAGTTCAGGGTTTAGATGTACTGACAGTATTCCCAGAGTTCAGGGTTTAGATGTACTGACAGTATTCTCAGGGTTTAGATGTACTGACAGTATTCCGAGAGTTCAGGGTTTAGATGTACTGACAGTATTCCTAGAGTTCAGGGTTTAGATGTACTGACAGTATTCCCAGAGTTCAGGGTTTAGATGTACTGACAGTATTCCCAGAGTTCAGGGTTTAGATGTACTGACAGTATTCTCAGGGTTTAGATGTACTGACAGTATTCCTAGAGTTCAGGGTTTAGATGTACTGACAGTATTCCTAGAGTTCAGGGTTTAGATGTACTGACAGTATTCCCAGAGTTCAGGGTTTAGATGGACTGACAGTTTTCTCAGGGTTTAGATGTACTGACAGTATTCCGAGAGCTCAGGGTTTAGATGGACTGACAGTATTCTCAGGGTTTAGATGTACTGACAGTATTCCTAGTGTTCAGCCGCCGTGATGTTGCTGGAATATTGCTAAAAGCGGCGTAAAACCAAACTCAGTCAGTCAGTCCTAGAGTTCAGGGCTTAGATGTACTGACAGTATTCCTAGAGTTCAGGGTTTAGATGTACTGACAGTATTCCCAGAGTTCAGGGTTCAGATGTACTGACAGTATTCCGAGAGTTCAGGGTTTAGAAGTACTGACAGTATTCCCAGAGTTCAGGGTTTAGATGTACTGACAGTATTCCTAGAGTTCAGGGTTTAGATGTACTGACAGTATTCCTAGAGTTCAGGGTTTAGATGTACTGACAGTATTCCTAGAGTTCAGGGTTTAGATGTACTTACAGTATTCCGAGAGTTCAGGGTTTAGATGTACTGACAGTATTCCTAGAGTTCAGGGTTTAGATGTACTGACAGTATTCCTAGAGTTCAGGGTTTAGATGTACTGACAGTATTCCTAGAGTTCAGGGTTTAGATGTACTGACAGTATTCCTAGAGTTCAGGGTTTAGATGTTCTGACAGTATTCCTAGAGTTCAGGGTTTAGATATACGGACAGTATTCCGAGAGTTCAGGGTTTAGATGTACTGACAGTATTCCTAGAGTTCAGGGTTTAGATGTACTGACAGTATTCCTAGAGTTCAGGGTTTAGATGTACTGACAGTATTCCCAGAGTTCAGGGTTTACATGTACTGACAGTATTCCCACAGAGTTCAAGGTTTAGATGTACTGACAGTATTCCTAGAGTTCAGGGTTTAGATGTACTGACAGTATTCCCAGAGTTCAGGGTTTAGATGTACTGACAGTATTCCCACAGAGTTCAGGATTTAGATGTACTGACAGTGTTCCTAGAGTTCAGGGTTTAGATGTACTGACAGTATTCCTAGAGTTCAGGGTTTAGATGTACTTACAGTATTCCGAGAGTTCAGGGTTTAGATGTACTGACAGTATTCCGAGAGTTCAGGATTTAGATGTACTGACAGTATTCCTAGAGTTCAGGGTTTAGATGTACTGACAGTATTCCTAGAGTTCAGGGTTTAGATGTACTGACAGTATTCCCAGAGTTCAGGGTTTAGATGTACTGACAGTATTCCGAGAGTTCAGGGTTTAGATGTACTGACAGTATTCCTAGAGTTCAGGGTTTAGATGTACTGACAGTATTCCTAGAGTTCAGGGTTTAGATGTTCTGACAGTATTCCTAGAGTTCAGGGTTTAGATATACGGACAGTATTCCGAGAGTTCAGGGTTTAGATGTACTGACAGTATTCCTAGAGTTCAGGGTTTAGATGTACTGACAGTATTCCTAGAGTTCAGGGTTTAGATGTACTGACAGTATTCCTAGAGTTCAGGGTTTAGATGTACTGACAGTATTCCTAGAGTTCAGGGTTTAGATGTACTTACAGTATTCCGAGAGTTCAGGGCTTAGATGTACTGACAGTATTCCGAGAGTTCAGGGTTTAGATGTACTGACAGTATTCCTAGAGTTCAGGGTTTAGATGTACTGACAGTATTCCTAGAGTTCAGGGCTTAGATGTACTGACAGTATTCCTAGAGTTCAGGATTTAGATGTACTGACAGTATTCCCAGAGTTCAGGGTTTACATGTACTGACAGTATTCCCAGAGTTCAGGGTTTACATGTACTGACAGTATTCCCACAGAGTTCAAGGTTTAGATGTACTGACAGTATTCCCACAGAGTTCAGGGTTTAGATGTACTGACAGTATTCCTAGAGTTCAGGGTTTAGATGTACTTACAGTATTCCGAGAGTTCAGGGTTTAGATGTACTG